GGGGGGGGGGGGCAGACAAATCTTAGACTGGGTTCCACCATTTTTAACTAGCCTGTGTGCATCAAACTTCTGTTCTGATATAGGTATAGACTGGTTTTATGTGCCAGACTTCTGTTCTATTACAGGTATAAACCAGTTTCCAATCACATATACTGCACTGGTAAAAGTGTAATGTCTGTACCTGGCCAAAAGTGATAACACAACAGGCTAGTGGAAAATGCATTTACCAAGAGTCACAATATGCCCATCAGACACCAGCCTACCTTTTAAGATATACAGAAGGCGATTTCCTATCAGAGTAGCTTTTGCAATGACTATCAAGAAAAGGCAATGTCTAACACAGCATGTTTTTGGACATGGCCAACTAGATGCTGCAATCTTAAGAGTGTATCCATTTGACAACTTGAAAATGCAAATTATATAGAGAAATGATCAAGAAACATTGCCACATTTTTCATGTAAATACCTTCCATGTTTGGTATTCGCCAAAATCCTCTAATAAAATTCATAATTATAATATGCCCTCTCAAGATCACATGCTGTTTATTTCCCCTTCATCACTCGCAAAATGACTGAACCTGCTTCTGTTGGTTTCAGTGATGCATTTGAACCCTCATCTGAAGCTACTCCAAGTTCAGTAAGTGATTTCAGAAGATAAGTGGACTATCGTGTTATATGCACACACACACACACACGCACATACACATCCTTTTTTCAGAGGTATACACGGCATCTTACCTCAAAGTAAAATCCCTCACCCTCCAGCTATTTTTTTTTAATAGCATATTTTATTTATATATCTACCTGACAAGAAAGGGATTTCACTGTGTATATACTTACACACACAGAGGGTGTGCATGTGTGTAAATATATATATAGAGTACACCTCCCCGTGTGTGTGGCACTGGTGTGCATGTGTATACACACACACACTATACATGTGTATACATATATATACACACACACACACACATATATATTTCTTTAGTATACACACACACACATGCACGCGCATATACTATAAAATATATATATATTAGTGAGAAAAAGGGGATTTCACTATGAGGTAAGATGCCATGTTTGAGAAACACTGTGTTTGAGATAGCAAGATGGAGAAAAAAGTGTTTCATTTATAAACTTGTGTGGAAGCAGTGATGGAAGGAATGTTTCATTTTCTCACCAGAAGAGGCAGAACTCATCATGCCTGTAGTCACCTGACCTCCACTGTAGAGTAAAGAGGTGGTGCAGTCTGCACACCATGAAGGTATTCTTCCCTCCAGCCTCAATTCAGGACAGCATCCCTATTCAAGCTTTTATATACTTTCCTGAACTGGCGTCATACAGTGGTGAAGAAAACCACCACAAAGCAGTCTGACTTAGGAATCCTTATGCAGCTAAAGTGGCAGCTAGTATCCCATGTCTGTAAAGGGCTTTGGGACAAGATTTCATCATTATTACAATAGGACAGAGTGAATTTCTGGCCTGTTTTAATTCCCATTCAGCACTCCTGTAAGGGAAAGAGAATGCCCTAAAAGCCTCTGTCTGAGGCCAAGTTTCAATCACACTTTTTTTTTCTACACATGAACATATGTGGTAGCTGTAGGATTTTAGGAGAGTTATGTCCTCATGCTTTTACATGATTTCCACTTAAATCTGAGAGCTGGCCTTAGATCCACTCAAACATTAGTATATGTGCCACTTATATGCTAATTTTTGTTTTATGAATCAGGAGTGAAAGAGCAAAGTCTTTGTGATGGGCAATAAAAAACCCACATTTTTTCACTTACAAAGGTGTAACTTATTTCTGTTTAAACAGGACATTGTGTGCTGGAGTTGAAATAAAAGAATGAAATGTTTCATCTAAAAAACCATTTAAAAAGGGTTGAATATTATTATTAAAAGGTAACTTTATTTCACATCTATCTACCAATTGTATATAAAACCCTCTTTTCTTTTTTTTAGAAAGTTTGCTTTTTAGAGAGGCATCGATAATGCTAAAATACTGCATTTTATGCCATTTTTAGAACAAATATAATCTACAAAAGCTTCCAGGTCTCGCAGTTATGTTGACAGCTGTCAGTCAAAATGTCTCACAGCTACCCTACCGTGTCAGCCATCAGCTAACCCACACTTTCCCAGGGACGTCTTAGCATGGCATCTTTGTTCTGTTTTCAGATAAACAGATCCAGTTTCTCAACAAACAGACTGCTACAGTCCTTTTGATAACAATGTAATAATTCAAAACAAATGATTCTAGGCTTTGATGATAGCACTTTTATGGGTCATGAAGAAATCCTCCCACCAACATCTGTTTGATTTTATCTACTTGAACTTTATCCTCCAGTTGAAGATTTATAAGCTGAAATCATCCCAGCCTATTAAAGTCAGACTAATGTTAAAGCACTAACACAGAGAATGAAAGTGCATTTCACAGTCATCTACCTTTTGAAATCCTGTCGGGGGGGAAAGATATCAAAAGTTTTGAGAGATGTATGCTTAAACATGTTGGAAGTCTGCATTGTGTACAAAGCCCTGCATGACTGGCAGATGAAGGAATCGAACTGTTACATTACAATGGGAGCAAGCTATCAGAACCATTATTTAGAAAGACAACATGAAAAATACAGATGTTGTTTATATTTAAAGCCTGTTTTCTTAGCAAAAACCACTATGGGTGATGGAAATTCACTCCAGATTGGTCTCAACCCTCTTTCTTAATATCCTTGTATGCTGTAAATAAAAGCATGACAGCATAGCTATTAGAATCACTTGTTAAACAGATTTTTAAAAAATCCAAGCTAAATTTTGTGAAGAGAAGTTTCTTTTATGCAAATTCTGATAAAACATGCTAAACATGACTGTTTCATAATTACTAAGAGAATCTTCTTTTCACGCTGACTCAAATGAGGCCCTTCGCTATTTAGCATAACCAGAAGTAGGCACTTTGTTTTATCAAGACACAGTATATATATTTTTTTAAGTTTGCCTTCTTGGGTACTGTTTTTCCTGAACAACTGGCCATGTTCTGAAGCTACTCAACATAAGGCAGGAGAATGTGTACCTTGCACAGGACAGTGTCAATTTTTTTGTTTCAAATAAGCTGATATGAAAATTTATCTCATCTATGCAAAGTAAAAAACTGTGTTCATATCTTGTGGTACAAAACTTGAGACAGAATTATAAACTCAGAGTTTTTTTAATAAGCTCATATTCAATAGACATATGATTTTCCAAGAAGCTTAACTGTATATGTCTTTATATATATATGCACACCTATATGACTGTCTGACTTTTTTGTATGAAACAACAAAAGCTACTTTACACATGCTAAAACTATTTTACTACAGTAGGAAGAGATGACCCCATAGATTAGTCTATGCCCTTATCACTGCTAATGTATACAATACAACTGGAAATCACGCTAGCACAGTTCTGAGTAAACCGTTTGAAAAGACCATTTCTTTGCCCATCTGAAATAGCAAAACACGCAATAAAACTGCATTTCCTAAAACTAAAAACCTCTGGTTAAACAGTAAATGCTGATTAGCTCTAAAATCAAATTTACAGAGCCAGTGATAAAGTTAAAAGACTTAAGACAGAAGGTAAAATGGTATATAAAAAAGGAGGCGAACAGACTCCCTTAAAGTAACATAGAGCAAAGGCAACATGCAACAGACACTTCTCCTCCACTTGTAGTCTCTAATCAGTTCACAGGGTTTCCTTAAGGGACAAAGAGTACAGGTGAGATATAAGTTTGTTTGAGAGCATTAGCTGGAGAATGGGTGCAGTAGCTTAGTGACTTCCTGACTCAAGACCCCAGACCCTTCCCCCTTCCTCTGGAATTAAGAGTGGCAAAAGAGAGCTACAATTTTTTTAACAAGTAGAGATGTGCAGGCTTTGATACTTGTGTTCTAAACATGGTGCTTTTACAGTGCCAGACAGCTTTCTTGGACCACATACACAGTGATAAAAATATGATATTCAACCCACTTTTGAGAAGTTCTCCAGATAATTATGAACTGGAGAAACTGGCTTTAGAATGGGAGATGGTTTCCTAAGAAAAGAAACTATGTCAGAAGGGCATGCTTTGAGTTGAGCAGGAACATTAATGAGAATGAAAAAGAAAAGACCAAAAATCCCACATACCTTCCCTTTGACTCCGTCTGTTGTATGACATTTACCAGATGAGTATATGTAAAGTACTCTGTAATTAGCTTCATCTGATCATAATAACTTTAAGGAAACTTCAAAAACTCTGCTAAAACTCAGAAGCCAGAATAATTTGTATTTATTTTAAATGAATGTGCATGTTGCATCAGCGCAAATTATGCTGTTGTTTAGTATGAGGCAAGCGCAGTGATTCTGTGGTGGTGTGGAACTACATTTCAGATGCAAACTACACTTCTCTTAAGTAAGTGACTCCAGATCCTCCCAGTTTCTAATAATAAAGGATTACACATCTATCTTGTATACCTTCCAGATGTTCCAACTGCGTAATACAAACTAGGTACCATCTCACAGGTCAGTCGCATCCAACGCAGGCAGGAACTAAATATTAAAAAGGTAAAAAGACTTTTCTAGAATGAAATAACAGGTAAAAGTACCAAAACCCCACCTGAATATGGGTCCCCTTCATGCGTTTTGTAGTCAGTCTCACGCAAAACTCCAAACCTCCAGGCTCTATCACATCAGACTACTACTGATTACACTCAGACAAGTGCATCCACAACGGCTCCAGGTCCAGGAAGGGGAAAAATCTTATGTTTAATGACATGGTGGTGACATTTATTGCAATACTGCAATAATTCTCATCAGTATATCTAATAAGGCAAAATTTAAAAGCTGTACACTAGCCTTTACACAGACAGATACATCTAATACTGCATGCAGTCATTAAAACATATTATAGCAACAATTAACATCTATAGAAGATACAAATTAAAGTTACAACATTTTGTTTATTAAAAATCCAGATATTTAACATATAGGAAAAATCAACACACAACAAATACCCTAGGGACAAAGTTGCTGTTTTGAAAAAGTTACTGTTGCAATCATGCTCCTTCATGCACTGCAAATTTCATTTAAGTCTGCTAGACCAGTGAAGCCTAATGCTGTGTCTAAATAACATGCATGCACATTGGAAACACAGACACCACACTCAGAATATTCTATGTGGCATTTACTTCTTTGTTGCATTTAATCTCCAAATAAAGGTGTGTGTTAAAATGAGCCCCAGATTATATGGATTTAGCATCAAGACAAGCTTTTACCAAAACAGACTTACAGCATCGTGGTATTGCCAAATGTCAGAATCAAGTTCACACCACCAATTATTAACCAGGGTTTCATAGTACTCTTCAGTGCTGAGACATCTTTTTAAGGGTGCCACAGCTGCCACACAATATTAGCATTAGGTGTGTAAATAAGAAAAACCTAGAGATTTCAGACAGGAATCCACAGTGTCAAAAGCATTCTGGCTGGTTGGGGTCTTTCTGAGTTCTTTTCAACAGAGAAATTGCTTTATCAATTTTCCTTAGTCAAAAAACCAAGTTGGCTGGCATTTTGTGAGGGTGCCTTGAATCTAATGAGTCAAAGATTCATAGAAGTTAGGGGCTGGAAGGGACCTCACAAGATGATCGGGTCCAACCCCCCTACTCTAAGGCAGGAAAGACTGCAGAGGTCAGATGACCCTAGCGAAGTGTGCGTCCAGGTGTCTTTTGAAAATGTTGTTGAGAGCCACTGGTTTAAACGATCAAAAATACACATAACTAGGGGCAGTTGTGGGCTAGTAGGGAAAGTGGAGGGCTGTGGGCTCCTATAAGTAGGTTCTACTACTGTCTCTACAAATGACTTGATCCGTGTCCCTGTATAAGTCACTTCCTTTTGGCTAAGTACAGACATTCAAAAAGCCAGAGGCTGAATCAATTCAGTCTTTGCAGATTAGTCTAAACTGCATAGCTTGAACTCAGAAGCAAGTGAACAGACATTCACTTTCAATTCTGGAAATGCACCCACATTCCTGCAGTGGCTCAGGCCAGAAGTTGGGAGGTGCCCAGCCTCCCAGCCACAGCCAAAAAGAAAGGAGGAAGCTCCAAGGCTTTTCCCCACCTCCACACTCAAGTGGAGGGGGCATGGCCCCATGCTGAGGCCAGGAGGACAGGGCTTTAAACCTCCTCTGTGGCTGGCATGGGATCTCAGCCTGGGACCAGGGCAGGGAAGGCGGGGGAGGAGGCAGGGTGCCCCTGCCATACTTATCCATCCCACTCCTCCACTTCTGACCTGGGACACCATGCTAAGAGGGGAGAGCAGAGTATACACCCCATCCCTGGAACACAAGGGACCCCAGCCAAGGTCTGTCTGGTAGAGGTGGGGGAGGTGGGACAGTCCCTGCCAGGCTTTTGCCCCCTTGCTCCCTGCTAAGGGGGGGGACAATCCCTGGAAGGCTTTTACCCCCTCCCACCCTGCTCAAGCAGAGAGTGAAGGGAGAGAACACAGCCCGGCCCAGGACCAGCAAGCTGAGTGGGGGGAAGGGGGTTTAAACCCCTCCATGTCTGTGTGGTGTGACCATGACCCCTGTTCTCCACTTGAACAAGCAGCGAGGGAGAAAACCCTGGCAGGGGCTGCCCCCTCCCCTGACCTGAGCAGGGAATGGCGGGGAAGAAGCGTGGCAGGCCACCCCACACAGACCCTGGCTGGGGTCATGTGTGGCCATAGTGAGGGTTTAAGCTCCTCTGTTCCCTACCTGTGCCTGCCAGCCCAGGGCTAGGTTGTGGCCACACAACCCCTCTGCTCGAGTGAGGAGAGGCAAAATCCTGGCAGGGGCTGCCCCCCACCCAGGCAAACTCCAGCTGGGATCCACGGTGAGGGAGGTGGGAAGCCATAAGCCAAGGCATGCCCACGCCCCCCACTCAAGCCAGGAGGTGGAGGCTTCTGGAAGGGGCTCCCCCCAGACCTGAGCTGGGGTCCTGTGTGGACAGGGAGGCAGGGGTTAAATCCTCCTCCCCTCACAGCCTGCTGACCCCAGACTTGAGCAGGGGGGAAGGGAGGGAAAAAGCCTGGCAGGGGCTGCCCCTCCCCCAGGCAAACCCTGGCTGGGGTCCTGGGCCTCCCTCCCTTCTGTCATAGTGTGCCAGCCCAGGGCTGATGTCTGGCCATGCGCCGCCTTGCCCCCTCCACTGGAGTGGTGAGCACGGAAAATCTAGGCAAGGGCTGCTGCACTCCTGCCAAGCAGTCCATGGCTGGGGTCCCATGGTTTAGATCCCCCTCCGTCCCCTCTGCCTCAGCATGCTGGTCCTGGCCTATGTCTGCCCACACCCCTGCCCCCACCGCTTCAGTGGCAAGTGAAGAAAAGCCAGGCAGGGGCTGTTCCATCCCTGTCAGGCAGACCCCAGCAGGGGTCCCATGCAAGAGGGACCCCCTGCCTCATTCTGCCAGCCTGGCCTGGGATCTGGCCACTCCCCCATCCCACCCACTCCAGCAGCAAGTGGGGGAAAAGCCTGTGAGGGGCTGCTCCACTCCCACCAGGCAGAGCTTGGTTTTCCACCTCCACTGCCTTCTCAGCCAGCTGGAACAGCGATAGTGCTCTGGCTAGGGAGCAGCAGAATGGGGCCAACTTTGCTCTGCTGGAGCAGACAGCACAGCCCAGCCCAGGGCTGCAAAGGCTCCTGGGATGCTGGGGGATTGTGATTTAACTTGAACCAGGAAGGGGTCTGGGACAGAAGTTCCATAAGCCAGTTTGACCAAAATCAATTAAAGTCTGATACTACATTTATCTTAAACCAGTTTTGGTGATTTTGAAAGTGGTTTACGTACACTGAATTTCTGTTCTGTTAGAGGTTGATCACTTAAACCAGTTTATGCGTAACATCTGTAACTTCTGTCCCTAGTCTTTGTGTCTCAGTTTCCGTGATATATATAGTGGAGAGAACACCATTTATGCATTGAGACCTGCAAATGAAAAACTGTATAGAAAAGATTATTATTAATAGGCAGAATGCAAGAAATCCAAAATGCTTTATTTAGGCACCATTTGTAAATACAGTGTGACCTGAGAAGCAATTGTTTGCCAGTAGACATAAAAATACCATTGAGATGTTCAGATTATTAGAACCAAAATCTGAAACTGAATCTATCATCAGCTGTGCTAACAATACATTTTCTGCCAAGTTGCCACGGGTGACAGAAATGCATGATGACAGCAATAAATAATTTTAATGTCTGCTGATAATATCATGAAAAGAACAGTATGATACACTGACATCATTTAAAGATTTACCAGCCATTATTAAATGCTGTATCGTGCCTCAGCTTGTCAGCTAATAATAACACAGTGTGTCGCCATATTTCCATCCATATGCATTTATGCCTGCATAAGAGAGATTTGTGTCCTACATAATTTATCCAATTCCTTTGTTACTTAAAGTAATTTAAAAATAATTATGCTTATTTATATACTGATGAGTATAGGCCAGATCTTGCACAACCAAAATATTCACTGAATGATAAGCACCTCTTTAGCATTACTGAGGACAATTTTAGCATCACTATCCCTATGACATCTGTTTATTCATCCTAGATCTCCTAAAATAGCTAACATAATTATGCTAATCCAGGCCTCCCTTTTTCCCCACCCACTCCAGAGAGCACAGCAACCAAATACACACATGTTTTACAACAAACCAAGGAAGTGGAGGAGACTTACTAATTTTTTTTCAAATACTTGTAGTTTAAGCGTTGCATAATAAAACTCTTTCAAATTAAAATATTCACAGAACTGTCTGTCCCTGTTATTAGCTATTATGTTGGGGGGGAAATATAAGTCTCTTACCCTGGATTCTAAGGTATAAAATTAAAATGTCATTATCAGGTCAATATATTTCTAGAATTTAGGTTTTATAATGTAATATGGGGGGGGTTGCAAATTGCATACAAATATAATATTCAAGCTTCTTGTTAATTAAAATGAAATTGACTAGGGATGGGACAAAGGGAAGGCTGGGTTGGCATCCTCATTTTAACTATTTAAAAGAAGGGGTACAAATTGCCTGATATCAGTGTGATAATAATATATTATTGTTCTCAGTATTAAACAAAATAAGTGCTCATTATACCAGAAGCAATGTTTATATTCATTCCTTCCACTTTGTTATCCAAGCTTAATGCAAAAAAGGAAACATATTTATAAATAGCAAAAAGTAAACTAGTGTTTATAATTCTCTTTAATAGTTTAAATTAATCCGTAATAAAGAGTATTAAACCTTTAGATTTTTAAAATGTACTATCCTTTTAAGATGTGACATTCAGCCAAACACATCAACACTGAAAGGGCTTTGGAAAATTACGTAAAGGTTTCTGGATGCACAACCAATTAGGCATTTGCATCTGCCTCTCTAACTCAGATGTCACTCTCCTTCTTCTGCCGTGATTACAGACCTCAACAACACTAAAGCAGTTGAATCACTGTAATCAAAGACATGTTTGTCTGTAAAAAAGAAAAAAATCCTACTTTTATATGCTAAACAACTGAAAAGGTCAGTCTCTAGTTCAGGCACAAGTGCGTGGCTAGTATAGTACCAACTTTCTACCTTGACACCTCACTACAATGGGCCGATAGTAATACTATTAAATACAGGTGTAGAAATAGGCATAGATAGACATGAAAAGTAAGCTTTACTGTGGCAGCCATAACCTTCTCACTGATCTTGTGCAAGAGACAAATCCCACCCATTAATTTACACTTTGAAAAACTTTCATACTTAGGCACAATAGGCACATCTGCATGTTCATTAATGTGCCATAGTTATGGCACATTACATTTACTACTTGGTTAACCAAGTACTAAATCAATGCACAGTAACTTGAGCTACTGTACAGTAGTGCCGGCGCACAGGTTTTTTGTGACGTACTGAGCAGTAGCCTAATACTACTGTGCAATAGTGTATTAGCATGGTGTTTGCCTGGCACACTACTGCACAGTGTTATTAGGATACTGCACAGTTAGTATCTCATGTTCAAGTAGATCTGCCCAGTATGTTCCTCCTGCCATCCTTGCTCTTCAGCATTTTTCCCTTTTAAAAAGCATGCAGAAGTGTATTACACAAATCGAACAAGTTGGATTTCCTTGCAAGACAGATTCCACACATACTAGCAGTGAGCAGCACAGAAAAGAGAGTAACATAACCCTTCACTCTAGTCTGAGATAAAAGGATGTTTCACAGAATGATTAAGTAACCTGAAGTAAATAAAAACATAGCAAATTATGCTGTCTCAATAATTAGCTGCTATAAAAAGAACTAGTCTCCTCACTGCCTCTAGTACATAACTAAAGGATTTACAGCTACCAAGAGTACGAGGTGGCAGGACATGGATCTATTTCTCCAGTGCTCCTGGAAAGTCAGTCGCTGTGGAAAAAGGAAAGTGTATAGGGCTGCTGTTGGTACCTTCTCAGTATAGAGAGTTTGCGCTGAACTCAATACAGGCTGCAGTTACAGGACCTGCTGCTCAGGAATCTGAATGACATTTGGTTGTACACTTTTATTTCAAACAAAAACACTTTGTTTACTTGCTGAACAAATCAGATCAACCATTTCCAGGGTGTCCCAAGATGACACATCCAAATTCTCAAGTCAAACTATCTTGTAAAGCAAACCTGCTCTTGCTTCAGAGAACTCTGAGCATATGTGAGCACTGGTGCAAACAAACTGGTTAGTGTTGGTAAACACAGAGACACCCACAAAAGCAACCCAAGGAGAAAAAAATTAGTTACTCTAATTATTAGAGCCTTGTGGGAAACCAGCATCCTGCGGGCTTCCCCAGGCCTGGAGAGAATAAGTTAATGAACTGTATGATACAATTAATACATTTAAATGACAATCAGACATAAGTAGAAGCAACAGATCCTCTAATAATCACTAACAGTGAGACCCTGGTTGTTCTAGATCAGCCTGAAATCCTAGTCCTGACACACCCACCTTTCAAGAATAAAAATTATTCCCACACAGTAGTTAAATCTCTAAGGTTGATGCTCACTTAACTAGCTACTTAATTACATAATGCACCCCCTTTTTCAAGGAATAATTCATACTTTTCCTTAGAGGCTGTACTCCCAGCAGCAGAGAAGCCATTTTTTTTCACTTTCCTGCTTTCCAAGAGGGCTCCCAACCATAGTTACACCGGAACTGGGAAGAGAGACAAGCTGTCCATCAAAGCCTCAGTCTGAGAGTCCCATCGATTTCCAGGCTGCTCTTAGCAACCACAGAGACTATGGTTATCAAATAAGAAGTGGGAGCTCAGTAATGAACATTTGCAAGGAGCCTCCAAATGACGAACACTGCTCCTACCCATTCTGAAAATTGTTGGACCACTGAAAGCACAATCCTGGGTCATATCATTCATGCTGGCTGCTAACCATGGCAAAAAGTAGGTGAAGTCACACATCTGCAGCAGCAAAAAAATGCAAAATTCACAAATTCAGCAAAAAAGTCCTGAAATCACATTATTTACTATTCCTTGTTAATCACGACTTCACTATTTCAAGTGATTTTAAAGGAACCTTTCCCACTTGCTCCATTATGCTACAAAGAGAAAGTTAAACATGAAAATTTAGTTGAATGAGTTTGCCCAACAGTAGAGGTTACAAAAAGGGGTTATGAAAAATTTGTAAATCAGATTTTTGAGTTTCATTACAAAAGTCACAATGATGACAAACATACAGCCTTATGCCAGAAACTTGGTTTGAGTAAGGAAAACATTCAATGTAAATGGATTATTCACCTTGTAATTCTATGCCCATATCCTGCAATGCTCACAAACTAAATCATCAGAGCTGCAATTCTTTTACCATCCTCTTTCCTTTTCTTTATAGATCAGCAGCCTGTGCAGAAAAATAATTTAAAAAATAGCATTTTAGATTTTACTATTTTAAAGCCAATCAAATGAATTTAAAAAGGAGTAGTTGAGTTCATCTGCATTTGTTTGACATGACAGAAAAAAACCCCTATACTCTGTCTCATTCCAGCTAAGTATTAGCCAGAGAGAAAAGCATGTATGGAAAATATAAATGAAGGTGAAGGGGGAAAAATCTCTACTACTGTACTTTTTATAAAACAAGAAAAATGTTTTGGATACTACTAGGGCCCAGACCAAAGCAGAATTTGGGATCCAAACAATCCATTGCTCCAGTCATGATGGACAGTCAGTTGATGGAGGAGGAAAGTACGTGCCATGGTCTTTAAAATTTCAGAGTTACATCTGGAAACCTAATCCAATTTTCTGAATTTTGCATACAGTTGGGTCAGATCCCTGAAAGACCCTAGTTTCCACATCTGGGCTAGGTACAGACAGTCAAAAAGCCCAAGGCCGAATCGATTCAGACTCTGGAGGTTAGTCTAAGCTTCACAGATTAAATTGAAACAGAAGTGAACAGTCATTTACCTTTAATTCAGGAAATATAGCCAGATGCCTGAAGTGGCTCAGGCCAGAAGCTGGGGGGTGCTAGAGTACTTCCTCTTCCTGCTGCTCCAAGATCTATGGGATTTGCAGTCCAGAAGTACAGTAGCAGGACTCTGCAGGGTTGCTCATCACTTCCTCATCCTGCTTCCAGGTACCTCTGGGATTTGTAGTCCATAGTTGCAGCCAGCAATACGTTTGAGATGAGGAACAGGTATTTAACCCCCCACCCCCAGCCGGGGTTTGCCTGGCGGGGCAGGCAGTCCCAAATCAGTTAAGTCCCAACTCCCAAATCAGTTAAGTCTGATACTTATCAGTTAAGTCTGATACTACATTTAACCAGGTTTAGTGTAAACTAGTTTCAGCCATTTTGAAACTGGTTTATGTGCACTGAGATTGTGTTTTGTCACATGTTTAAACCAGTTTCTGATAATTTAAACCGGTTTATGTGTAACTTCTGACCCTAGCCCAGGGGTTCTAAAGGCACAGACATAAACTAAGGCCCTTGCTCTCTCTTCCTACACATTTTGTTTGTATCCACAAGCTTCTGTTTTCTCTCATGCTCTTCAGAAGGCTCTTCCAAGACTCCTCTATCTACAGTCAAGGTAGCCAGGAGCCTCCCTACATGTTCATACAAAGGTAGCATGAAGAGCAAGGCAAGGGGAGCTGTCAGCAGCCTCTACTGTAGAGTCTTTGTTCAGATGCCAGGGGACTGCCCAGACTTTCTGGAAGTTATTCTTTAGTGCATATTGTATACACACTCAGCAGGGGAAAACTGTATTCTCCCCTTCCTCTCAGCACATGCACAGAAAAAGTCAGAGATGCAGTGGAAGAATTGCAAGCTCGTAGACCTTAGGTTTGCTTGGAAAAAAGTAGGCATTTTTCACACAAGCCTTCTACCAGATTTAAATTTAAGACCAGACCTCTGACAGCTCAAATCAGTAATCTGAACCAGAAGGGAAAATTTTCTGCCCTGTTTCTTTTGTATTCCAGTGCTGGCATGCCTACAGAGGCTAACAGCATCCTTACCAGGGATTCCCCAACTTAATGTCCCCAGCTAGTGTAAAGATAGTGGTACTATCACTGCACCTTCACTGCAGTGATCAACACAGGAGAAGAGGCTGCAACACAACCTGATCTGACTGTCTCCAGCTGATGGAGAGTCCCTGTGCCTATGGGCTAAGTACAGACAGTCAAAACTCCTGAGGCTGAATCAATTTAATCTTTGCAGGTTAGTCTCAAATGCGCAGATTAAATTGAAACAGAAGTGAAAAGACATTTACCTTTGATTCAGGAAATACAGCCACATGCCTGCAGTGGCTCAAGTCAGAAGCTTTTGGAGGTGCTACAGCACAGCTCTCTGACTGAGTGCTCACTTCCTCTTTCTGCTGCCCCTGAGGTCTGGAATTTACAGTTCAGAGTTACAGCAGCAGGACTCTGCAGAGCTGCCCATCACTTCCTCTTCTTGCTTCCAGGTGCCTCTGGGATTTGTAGTTCATAGTCGCAGACAGCAGTAAATTTGAGCAGAGGCAGGGGTGTTTAACCCCCCTCCCTGGATCCAGACCCCAGCCAGGGTTTGCCTGGGAGGGGCAGTTCCCCCTACCCCCCATAGACTGGGCCGAACCCCGAGCCGGTCAGCCAGCCCTCACTGCTCCAGCTAGGGAGCAGAGGGGCAAGGCCAGCCCTGCTCTCTGGAGCAGACAGCACAGCACAGCCCAGGGCTGGAAAGCATACTGGGGGACTATGGTTTAACTTAAACCAGGAAGCAGTCTGGGTCAGAAGTTTCATAAACTGGTTTGACCCAAATCAGTTAAGTCTGATACTACATTCAGCTAGGTTTATCTTAAACCAGTTACAGCCATTTTGAGACTGGTTTATGTGCACCGAGTTTCTGTCCTGATACAGGTTGAGATCCATTTCTGATCACTTAAACCAGTTTATATGTAACTTCTGCCCCCAGCCCAGGTGAAGAAAGGCACAAAATGGCTGGTGAAGAATCACACAGCCATAACACCTCCCAAAAGCTCCCACTCCTGAACACAGTAAAAAATCTAACCAATTAACTTAATGATTGAAGAACTATGTAGTGTTCTGGCAACTCAACAACTGTTTTGCTTTAAAGTGCCAAACCTGTCATGACTCACGAAGATTTATTATTTTCACAAGCAAACTGTGACAGAATACATACAGGAAGAGTTGGGCCCAAGCCATTTGAAGGACATTTAAATACTATGAAATAACAAGGTTACATTTTAACAATAATCACAAATTGTCAAGACCAACATTTTTTGCTAAACTAGTGAGTTCTTTTCCTGATCTGCTCTAAGAAGAACAGAAGCTGAAATGAGGAAAAGCTGAAAGCTTCTAAAAATCATAGCATAAAAGAAGCTCAAGTAAAATACATTTTTCTATTCAGTCTATCAGCTAGAAATATGACACCATATTTCTCAGTACAATTTTGATCAATTGTTCCAAGTGCTTGGTTCTGTGAAGGATGCCAGGCAGATATATTATTCTGCATAGGTGAATTGCTTCTGTGCACATTTTCCTTAAGATTCTGGAGCTCTTGGATTATGTTTTGTAAATCAGTTAGCTTCCTAGCCAGAGATTAAGGTAAATTCTGCTAAGGACTAAAAGTTGACTTAGAGCATTAAGAAGGATTAATGTTTAGCTGTGGTGAAGCTGAAGTACTAGGTTAGCATGTTTACGCAGTGCTGTAGATCACAATTAATCCAAAATTAGTATAAAAGATCAACAGCAACTGCTCTTGCATGCCAGCTTGGCTTAGTCCTAAAATCAAGACTTACTTTGGGGGCAATCTGTGTGCAAAGTTGCTGTGCGTCTGTCCTAATAGGTTTAAAGCTTTCAGAGGAATCCATGCATTTTAAATCTTTAGCTTCCTTGCCCTCTGCTTTGAGGAAATAAATGTAGAAGTCAGCACTCTAGACACACTTCTGCTTTTTATCTATGTCACAGATCCGTTAAAGTATGCTGGGTCTATAAGTGAACAAAAGCAAATACAATTTCCCGCCTCACAAAGAAAAGATGCTTAAAATATGTCCTTTTTGCTCCCCCTCCTCAAGGATTATAATAGGATTACTGGGGCATAGCATAGTCTTCATGCCTTTTAAATGAATGTTAACAATATACACATACACACATACACATGTATCTATATGGTATCTTATTTAAACATGCAGTAAACTGATTTTAAGCAGCATAACAGAACTGCTTTTGATAGTAATATAGAACATTATTATTTAGACCTTTTGTACACAACAGTTGTAATGATAAATTTAACTACTTCCCCCAATAAAAGGGGGAAAGAAAAGTATCATTGTTTTTATCTTTTCTACAAAGACCAAGCTAGGGCTATCAGAGGAAGAATGCAAGTAAATCCTTTGGTATTTTCGGGGCATGTTCTGCCACTTATTTGAGGTGTTGCTTGGAAAAAAGTATGCATTTTTCACACAAGTTTTCTACCACTTTGGTAGGGGTGCCAGATTTAAATTTAGGATCACACCTCTGTCAACTCAAATTAGTAACCTGAACCACCCAGGAAAAAATCTCCCACCCAGAGAAGGACTGTAGTCCCTTGCATTTTCACTTTGCCTTAGTATCCACAGTTCTGCCTGATGTCTCCAGACGGGAGCTTGTTATAGCTTGGCCCTGCTTTTCCTAGATATGAGGGCTGGAGGGGGCTGAGAGCCAAGAGATATGAAAAGGCTACGAGAGCACAGCCAGAGGATCAGAAGTGAAGAAACAGCTTTAGGGAAGAAACAACTTGCAGGGGGGATCCTGGGCAGCTTCTGTTGGGAAGAGCAAGGAAAGACACCAGTGGGGAAAAATGGAGTGGCTACTACACAAGGCAAAAGAGGGTGTTTGCTGCTCCCAGAGCAGGGTGGACAGCCCAAGGTAAGTAACTCAGGGTGGGAGGAGCAGCTAGTGGGATAAGGAGGCATGCCCAGGTTGCAGGGAGCAGGGGCTGCTGCGGAGTTTGGTGGGGCTGTCAGGTCCAGGAGGAAAGGGACTGGTTTGGGAGGTAATTGGGGGCTAAAAATAACCAAGTCAGGTCTGGGGGTAGAAATGGCACACGCTCAGGGCTAAGGCGGGTGGCGGGCTTTCCCAGCTCCAAGGCTGTGCTGTGAATGTGTACAGATGTTTGCTAGGATGGGTTAACTCTTTGTATATCAGGTTAACCCTTAATCGATTTGAATTAAGTGTTTACCTCCTGATATCAACTTAGATTGGCCACACCACTTTTGGACAATTTAAGCCCTGTGAACTCCTGCATGATCGGGTCTTTAGATAAATGTAACACTTGTATATACCCTTTGTGTCCATTTCCTGTCCTCATGACTTAAGGACTACATGCTTAGAGGGAGAGCACTGGGTAAGGGGGCACCAATACAGCCCTCTACA